CACACACACACACACACACACACACACACACACACACACACACCAGCGGCAGCGCGCCACCCTCCGTCTGTGCGTAAAGGGGTTTGGCACAAAACTGCGCACCGCGTAAACAAAAGCACATTGTCGGTGACTCCAGCAGCCAGTCTGCGGGCAGACAGTGGAGGAAGAAGCCGAAAATTGATTGGAAATGGGATTATTATCAATCGTTTTGCTCTAGATAGGAGTTTGAGGTATTTTAAATTCTACAGTAGATGAATTTGGTGAATAAATGTGAAGGTAAAGCTGGCCAACCTTCTGCGGGCAAACAGGCAAATTCAAGAGGAGAACACCCCTTTGAAACTGAAAGGTAAATTCTCCTCTGATGTTCGTTTGTGTGTAAGAACGTAAGGACATTCTGATGGATGGCTTGTGTTGTTTGCAGTGAGCATGCCGTGCGTCCAGACCCAGTGCGCCTCCTCTCCACCTGGCGCCAGCGCCGCCGGAGAGCGCAGCTGCGACTTCCTCACCCCGGAGTTCGTCAAGTTCAGCATGGATCTAACGAACAGCGAGGTGTCCGCGGCCGGGCCCGGCTTCGCTCCCCTGCCGGACGCTTACGGCGCGGGGTTCGACGTGAAGCCGCCCTGTCTCTTCCAGATGCAGGTCCAGGGGGAGCTGCCGTGCGTCAAGGTGGAGGACGGGTGTCCGGCGCGGTACCCGCCGTCGGATGAGCTGATCTCCCCTCCCTCGGTGTATTACCCCCCGCACGGTTCCATCACGAACTTCCAGCCTCCCCCGGGACACCTCTGGGACGAACCCGGATCTTTGTACGGTCTCCGGCAGGACTATCTGGCCGCGGCGCACCGCAAGAACGCGCTCTCCAGGTTTTCGCTCTTCTCTCTGAAACAAGCTGCTCAGCACGGCGCTCAGACTCTGTCCACCTGCCAGATGAAGCTGGACGGATCTCTCCACGTGTCCGTGAACCTGGACGCGCGCCACCACCACCACAACCATCACCAGCAGCTAGACCAGCCCGGGGTGGGCTTAATTCGTCGGCCCTTCCACCTTGCGCACGGTGCGCACTTCATGGAGACGTGCTCAGGCCGGGGGTCGCTGAGCGCGGAGGGGCTGTGCGCGGTGTGCGGGGACAACGCAGCCTGCCAGCACTACGGTGTGCGCACGTGCGAGGGCTGCAAGGGTTTCTTCAAGGTGCTGCACTCACCTGCATCACTATACTGAGGCAACTGCACATTTTATTCAAACAAATCATTATGATAAGTTTTCTGTACAAGAAATTCCATCTCTATTTCAAATGGCTTCAATGACAAAAGGAAACTTGTCCTGCTAACTGAACCTTTTACCACAGAATCACGTTTTGACCTCCTGATTTCTTCAGAGTAAATAAAGTCCCAGGATTCTCCCGGGGGGCTGATTCTCCAAATTATGAAAGACCACGACTGTGTATTTACCCACAGCTGCCCTGTCTGCCTGTTGAATTCCTCTCAGAGCAGTGGAGCTGCCTCTTGTTTCACTTTCCTTTAAATGAAACCCTCAGAAGCAATTAAGGAACAAATCACTGTTAAAAAAAACTGTTAAAGTTAGTCAAATCAGTGTAACAACACACTGTAAAAAATGAAATGTTGGATTTACTTTAACCATGTTATGTTACCTGGTTCCACTTAACTGAGTTGAGTAAATTCAAAGTAATATACCAGTTTTTAAAACAAAGAACATGAGTATGTTGCTTTGAATTTACTCAACTCAGTTAAGTGGAACCAGGTCACATAACGTGGTTAAGTAAATCCAACATTTCATTTTTAGAGTGCAGATTGCTCTTATTTTGAGTGTAACTAATGATTTTGAGTAAAAACAACTAATTGTAACAGCTAAATTTACACTTCAGGTAAGATTCAACACAATTTTTACACTTGCAATTTCTTAGTTGGTTAAATTTGACCTTATTTTACGCAATTAAATCAGATTTCTTGAATTGCTCCCTATTTTATGTAATTTTTAGTTAAATGAGTTTGACAAATTTAAATTATTGTCAGTTAAACTCAAACCACAAAATTAGTCAAAATGGTAAAATTAAACTTTGCTAAAATAATTGTATCTAACTAAAAATGTAAAAGATGAAAAGATTTATGCTGACTGCTTGGTACAAAATGCAGTAAAATACAAGTTGCTTACAAAATAGCAGTCATTTAACAGCTTATTGTCAAGTTTGGCATAATCTTCTATATGTTCAGTATGCCTCCAAAAAAATTATGTAACAACAAATTAACAGAGGTTTAAAAGTTTATACATACATATATAT